AGAAGTTTGTTACATAGGTAAAGGTGTGCCATGGTGGTTTGCTGCACCAGTCAACCCATCAGCTGGGTATTAAGCCCAGCATGCATTGGCTGTTTATCTTGATGTTCTGCCTTCCCCACCCCCTCCCCAGACAGGTCCCAGTGTGTGTTGTTCCCTTTCCTGTGTCCATGTGTTCTCACTGTTCAGCTCCAGCTTGTAAATGAAAACATGCGGTGTTTGGGTTTCTGTTCCTGTCTAAGTTTGCTGAGGATAATGACTTCGAGCTCCACCCATTGTTTCTGTAAAGGACATGATCTTGTTCCTTTTTATGGCTGCATAGTATTCCATGATGTATATATACCACATTTTCTTTATCCAGTCTATAATTGATGGGTATTTGGGTTGATTCCAACTCTTTGCTATTGTGAACAGTGCTGCAGTGAACATATGCATGCATTTATCTTTATAATGGAATGATTTCTATTCCTTTGGGTGTATACTCAGTAATGGGATTGCTGGTTAAAATGTCATTTCTGGTTCTAGGTCTTTCAGGAATTGCCACCCTATCTTCCACAATAATTGAACTAATTTATATTCCCACCAACAGTATAAAAGTGTTCCTGTTTTTTTACAGCTTTGCCAGCATTAGTTGTTTCTTTACTTTTTAATAATTCCTATTCTGACTGGTGTGAAATGGTATCTCATTGTGGTTTAGATTGCATGTCTCTAATGATCAGTGAGGATGAGCTTTTTTTCATGTTTGTTGTTGCGTGACTGTCTTCTGTTGAAAGATGTCTGTTTGTGTCCTTTTGCCCACTTTTTTATGGGGTTATTTTTTTCTTGTAAGCTTGTTTAAGTTCCTTGCAGATTCCAGATATTAGACCTTGGTCAGATGCATAGATTGCAAACAATCTCTCTCATTCTCTAGGCTGTCTGTATACTCTGATGATAGTTTCTTTTGCTGTGCACAACCTTTTGTTTATTTATTATGTCACTTTTTGCTTTTGTTGCAGTTGCTTTTGACATTCTCATCATGAAATCTCTGCCCGTGCCCATGTCCTGAATGATATTTCCTGGATTTTCTTCTAGGGTTATTATAGTTTTAGGTTTTACACTTAAGTCTGTAATCCATCTTGAGTTAATTTTTGTATAAGATGTAAGGAAGGGGCCAGTTTCAATTTTCTGCATATGGCTAATCAGTTCTTCCAGCTCCCATTTATTAAATAGGGAATCCTTTCTCCATTGTTTGTTTTTCTCAGGCTTGTTGAGTATCAGATGGTTGTAGATGTGTGGTTTTAGTTCTGATTTTTCTGTTCTGTTCCATTGGTCTATGTGTCTGTTTTTGTACCAGTACGATGCTGTTTGGTTACTGTAGCCTCATAGTAGAGTTTGAAGTCAGGTAGCATGATGCCTACAGCTTTGTTCTTTTTGCTTAGCATTGTCTTGGCTATATGGGCTCTTTTGGTTCAACATGAATTTTAAAGCAGTTTGTTCTAATTCTGTGAAGAATGTCAGTGGTAGTTTAATGAGAATAGCATTATTTTGGGCATTATGGCCATTTCCATGATACTGATTCTTCCTATCCATGAGCATGGAATGTTTTTCCATTTGTTTGTGTCCTCTCTGATTTCCTTGAGCAGTGGTTTGTGGTTCTCCTTGAAGAGATCCTTCACTTCCTTCATTAGCTTTTGTCTTAGGTATTTTATTCTCTTTGCAGTGTGAGTGGGAGTTTATTTATGATTTAGCTCTATGCTTGTCTCTTGTTGGTGTATAGGAATGTTTGTGATTTTTTGCACACTGATTTTGTATCCTGGAACTTTGTTGAAGTTGCTTATCAGCCTAAGAAGCTTTAGTGTTGAGAGAGTGGGTTTTTCTAGATACAGGATTGTGTCATCTGCAAACAGACAGTTTTATTTCCTCTTTTCGTATGTGAATATGCTTTAAATCTTTCTCTTGCCTGAGTGCTCTGGTGAAGACTTCGAATATTGTGTTGAATAGCAGTGGTAAGAGAGGGCATCCTTGTCTTGTGCTGGTTTTCTGGCTTTTGACTGTTCAGTACGATATTGGCTGTAAGTTTGTCATACATGACTCTTACTATTTTGAGGTATGGTCCATCAATACCTAACTTATTGAAAGTTTTTAATGTGAAGGATTGTTGAATTTTATTGAAAGGTAGGCCCCTTTCTGTGTCCCTTCCACTTACTGCTGTTTTGGGAAGAGCTCAAGCATAAAAACAGCCTTTATTTTTTAAATTTACTGCTTAGACTAAATGTAGGGACTAGAAGAATCAGTCTGATTCTCTGTGTTGGCCCGTAGCTAAATATTTATCAAATCTGTGAACAGTTTACCCAGAAGAGTTTTAATTCCTCAAAACTCAGTTTCTCTTGAGACACAATTTTGGAGTCCAATTCCTCGAGAGGCCAGATTTTTAAGATTTTTATCTACATTTTTCCCCTCTAACTTTCTTTTTTTTTCAGTTACTTATCACATTATATAAGTAAAACAACTAAATTTGTAAGCATCTAGAATGTGTAGGGGGAAATGGTTTATTTATGAATTGCCATGCCAAGCCATGCTGCCTTGTGAGTTTTTTCCCAAGCCATTCCAGGTTCCTATGTGTGCTGCTAAAATAAACACCTGTGTTCTTCTGTTCATTCTCTCCACTTCTTTTTTTCCTTAGCCTCTTGTGCACTCCATCTTGACGTTACTCTTGGATTCTGTGGTCTGTGACTATCCACCTGAACCTATCACCTTAACCAACTTAGAGAGTTTAGTTGCAGAAGATTTTCTTGCAATGAAACTATAGGTTATTGATCAGTGGTGTTGCTCCTCATGAAAAACCTTTCCAGAGATTTATAAATTGAAGCAGCATGGAAACTTATAGTTGTATAAAGAATGATATCCAGAAGATTCTTTAGTGATCTGCATACAAAGCTAAATAGTTAATTTCACTTTTAAAGTGTTACTTAGACTTCATATTGTCATCCTATGGCCAGTTGGAACATCTTTGCTAGTTTTTTGTTGTAATAGGAGATATTGTAAAATAATTTTATACAATTGCAGAACGCAGCCTCCTTCCAAATTTCTTCCATTTAAAATAATATACATAAAACAAAGTCAAGAGACAAGTAGCAGGTTGTGGAAAAATTTCTGCAATATCATGACAGAGGCCTAATTTCCTTAATATCCATAGAGCTCTTCAAATGACCAAAAAGAATAACCCAGTAGAAAAAAAGCCGAGAAGCAAGCATGCAAAGAGATTCACTCCCATGTATCATCAAACAAAAATCAAGACAAGTTGCTGTTTTCCAACTGTTAGATTGGCTGAAATGAAAATGTTTGAAAAACCTCATTGTTAAAGAGTAGGAAAAATAGCATGTTGTTGGAATTATGAATTGTTAAACTTTCCCAAAGGATGATTTGGCAATATTTATGAAAATGTGAAATGCACATAGACCTGGATCAAGAAATTCCAGATATGAAAAGACCCATATGTAATGATAGTGTTTGCAGCATTGTTTATAATAGCCTGAACTGAAAATAAGTTCTGTGTTCCTTAGGAGGGTTTACAGTAGTACCGTTCTTTATTGAGCTGAAGCCACTAAAAGATGCCCTAGCTTTATGGGGGTTGGAAAAAAAGGAAGGGAAAAACAAAATATAGAAGACTGAATAATATGATCCCATTTGTATTTTTAAAAAAAGGATGAAAGGATGCTATATATACTCTACTTATATGTGAATAAATGTTCTTTGAAAAGATGAAACAGATAATGATGGAAAGAGGGGGTAGAGATCAGAGATCCAGAGGATAGAGAGCGACAGTGGGAGAGTAAGACAGAGGGTAAGGCCTTTAATTATTTCTTAAAAATTTTGAATTTGTCAAAACAATTTTGCGTGATAAATGTTAGTGATTTAGGTGTGTTGAGAGACAGTGATAAACACTCTAATTCATATCATTTCTCTTTTCCCAACCCACACACTCCTCCTGTCCCCCACCTTCATTCCCACCCCTAATAGTTATGCTTTCATGAACATTAGCTGAGTGTTTTCACTTCCCTTGGGGGACTGCTTTTGAGAGAGAAAACAAGAATCAGTAAAGTGGCCAAAGGGCTGGCCATGGAGGGAAAAATAAAGACGTTGCCCAGTACTGAAAATGAAAAGCTGTCTGCTGAAAATGAACCATTCTTTGGTAATTTCACTTAACCATTTAAGATAATTCAGATAAAAGCAATGACATTTTCCTGAAGAATTTGGTTTGGACTTCTTCTGTAATTAATTATTTTAGTTGCTTATTACTCCTATAAGGAAAAAAAGGTTATTTTTCTCAAGCCCTTTTTCTTTTAACCCCTAGGGATAAAAGGACATTCTCATTTCTATGTCTAGTTTGGGGCAGACGCTTTGCATTATTGATGGAGTTCTTTTTAGAAATGGACTTTTGCCTTCTTTAAATAGCCCTGGACATGCCTGTGTCTCACCACCACCCAGGAAGTACATTTTGACACCTGGGTTGAGTTATGAAATATCTTTTACTTCTCACTTTTTCCAGTTGCCCAGCATTTTAAATTCACCCAATGCATTTTACGTAGTTTATTTTGGTACTTCAGAAAGTTATCTAAAAGTTTGTTGACTCAGTTTTTAAATCAAAAACTGTTCTACATGTTATTTTAATATTTCACATAAAATTCAGTTTTGAAATACTTTTCATTTTTCAGCTCCACCCTCTGCTACCCTGAGGACTTCTCATGTCATAAATGTGTCCTTCATTTTGCCTTCGAGGTCCTTTTCTCAGTACTGCATTTGGGTGTCTGTGAGCTGTAGCCAGAGATGTCCTATGCCTAGTGATAGGCTTCTACCAGCTGTCATGCACGGTTGAATAGGATGTTTTTTTCAATGTTATTTTATTTTATTTTATTTTATTTTGTTTTATTTTATTTTTTCCCAGACACCAAAGTTCTCCCTCTGCATGTTTTTTTTTCCCTCAATCTAAACTTTCTGGGAGTGAACATGCCTTTTTCTTTCAGATGGAGACTATTTTACCTTTACAAGACATGAACCCATTGGAGTGTGTGGACAGATCATCCCAGTGAGTGTATCTCCTCGCACCTCGTATTTATTTTCATTTGACCCAGTTCTCTTAAAGACATATAAAACATGGTCCTCAGCGATGTGTGTTTTCCATTACTGGGGGAAAAAAACTGAGCTCATGTTGTTGACATATCTTTAACAGCCTCCCTGCAAATGCTTATTTGAACAGGTTAATAGGGTTTCAGCTCTGTTACCAGGAGTTGAATTCTCAAGTCATGGAATTCTCATGATTAAAATAAGCAAAGCAAAGCACAGTGTATTAATAACCTTCCCCTGATGATTATGTCCATTCTGCTTATGGAACATTAATGCTTTTTTATATTTGCTTGTGACTCACCATCCTTCCAGGCATTTTATATGATCTTTTAATCTCATTCTTTCCCACTGTTTCTTTTCACAAGAATCTAGATAGAAGATGCTACAGAAGACACAGCATTACAATTCATATCACAGTCATAATTGAAATCATGCAGGGCTGTTGTGTGTCTTGTCAAGAGAAATAGATGTAGTGCTTAGTGTTTGGATTGGAACATTAAACATTGTCCTTTTATTCCTCTCTGTCTCTCATACACACCCTTGTATAATACAAAACATCATCGAAGCTTCTGACAGTATTAGCTAATAGTTCCGGCAGGGATTTCAAGAGGAGGTTCAAATTCAACTCTTACAGTATAGACAAGAAGTTTTCTTTTTTCAGAATGCAGTAGTATAACTCAAGATAATCTTTGGCATTGGGAACCAAAGATCTGGGGAAGGTATATTTGTTCAAATAATTGATACATCCCAGGTTATGTGAAATTTATTACAAAACGCAAAAGGAAAAAAGGAGCAAAACTTAAAACCGAACCTCTTAAAGTCTCTAGGGAAATCCTACTTGGATCAGCTCTGGGATGAGGTGTGTCACCTTCCTTGTAGTTTTCAAACTTACTTTTCTTGCCCTTCCGCAGACTCTCAAAGCTGCAGCTTCACTGACAGGACAAGAGCTGTCTTTCAGCCAGCTCTGGCTCAATTACTGCACTTCAAGATTTATACACTGTAGATGGAATTAAAACATTACTGTGGACTCCCAAGTTTATAAACAACTAAGGAGAAAAGAAATTGGGTGTTCGGTGAAGGCCAGACACTTGTATATTTTTGCAAGCTTGCCAGAGCCAGTGAGAAGCCTTCGAGGATGGCAGCTGAGATGCTTCAGGCAGAAACACATTGTGGTCAAGGGCTGAAGCCAGGGGATGAGGATTTCTGTTTTCTTTCTTAATGAAATTATCAATGACACCTGATAGTACTGAGGCTTATGACAATACAAGCTTAATATCCTTTTAAAATCAGTTTAAACTGTTTAAGACCCCCTCATCTACTCATGTAAAAGTAGTTTAGTTTCCAATAGCTTCTTTCGCAGTGGAAAAGAGACAAATGAAAATTTTGGCATAGTCATTAGTATATGCACTTTATTTTTTGTGATATTATGTGTATGACAATGAATGTATCTAAAGTACTTCCCTGAAATACACGTTGACTTAACTATAACTCATAGTTAGAAATTTTCTTTTCTAGTTCTTCCAGTTGAAGAGTTTTCATACCAGTGTGAAAATTCTGATGTAAAATTCTCAGATGCAAGAAAAAGTCTTCACACATGAGAACTTACTGGAACCAAAGCCAAATTAAAAAAAAAAAAAAAAAAGGAAAACAAAAGTGACAAAAATCAAACCAAAACACAGAAATTACAAAATTGCCTGTTCACCATGGGATTTCTTTTGGTGGGTAGTTGGAATATAGTAATTTGTTGGTCAGAGAGAAAAGGGGAGATTTCTGGGTCAGTGCTATTCTGTTCTTAATGAAGTAATTGAAAATCCAAACATCTATACTTTATAGTAGACAAGATTTATGTTGAGGACTGGTTTGAGAAATATGAGAAGTCACAGCGTGAAAACAAAGTCTTGGGAAATAGTTTTTCATCTATCAAGTTTGATCTTTTTCCTTTCAGTGGAACTTCCCCCTGCTGATGTTTGCCTGGAAAATTGCTCCAGCCTTGTGTTGTGGCAATACAGTGGTTATTAAGCCAGCAGAGCAGACACCACTCAGTGCACTCTACATGGGAGCCCTCATCAAGGAGGTAAGAGAAGCTGACTTCAGGAATGCTTCTGACTCCCTTTACAACTGAAATCTACTAGAGCATATCTCATTTAACATGATGCATCAACTCTCATCAGCCACATTTCCTCCTGTTCTGTTTTCTTAGGCGGGCTTTCCTCCCGGAGTCATCAATATTTTGCCAGGATACGGGCCAACGGCTGGAGCAGCAATAGCTTCTCACATTGGCATAGACAAGATTGCGTTCACAGGATCTACTGAGGTATGTATCTGAAAAAGCAGGGATTGAGGAAAAGACCTGCAAATGAGTTGAGGGGTTAAAAATAATAAAAATAATCTGGGCATGGTGGCTCACGCCTGCAATCCCAGCACTTTGAGAGGCCGAGGTGGGCAGATCACAAGGTCAGGAGATGGCGATCATTCTGCCTAATGTGGTGAAACCCAGTCTTTACTAAAAATACAAAAAATTAGCGAGGCATGGTGGCACTCACCTGTAGTCCCAACTACTTGTGAGGTTGAGGCAAGAGAGTTGCTTGAACCCGGGAGGCAGAGGTTGCAGTGAACCGAGATCGTACCACTGTACTACATCCTGGCCGACAGAGCAACACTCCATCTCAAAAACAACAAAGAACAATAAAAATAGTACCCATAGGCTAGAGAGCAAAAGGGCAGTGAGTACCCAAGCCCACAAAGGGTAACATTGGTATCTCAGATAGAACACTGGTGGATGTGAAAGCAAAGACACACAGGGACTGTTTGACACCACAGCATTTTTGTGATATCGTCTTGTGTTAGAAGTATCCCAGAAGCTAGGGTTCTAGACATTTTGTTGAGTCAAGAACAGTAGTGACAGAAGCAAGAAGCTGGAAAGCTAGTCTCTGGTAAGGATCAGAGTGGAGACACAAGCTTTCCCTTCTCATTGTTTTGACATGTCGGGTAGATGCAATTGGCAGCTTACTATGCCCCTTGAGCCATAAGAGATGATACAGAGCAGAGTTCAGCACGTTTTTTCTGTAAAAGGCCAGATAGTAAATGTGGTAGATTTTTCGGGCAATGTGGTATCTGTTGCAACTACTCAACTTTGCTGTAGTATCACCAAACAGTCATAAATAATACATAAGCTAATGAGTATGGCTATGTGCCAATTAAACTTTATATATAGGCATGGAAATTGGAATTTTCACCTCATTTTTATAAATTACAAAATTCTTGTCTCTTGTTTCCAGACATTTAAAAATGCAGGCTGGTCGTGGTGGCTGACGCCTGTAATCCCAGCACTTTGGGAGGCCGAGGCGGGCAGATCACGAGGTCAGGAGAGCAGTTAACTATCGTGGCTACCATGGAGAAACCTCGTCTCTATTAAAAATATTTAAAAAATAGCCAGGTGTGCTGGTACACGCCTGTAGTCCCAGCTACTTGGGAGGCTGTGGCTAGAGATTCGCTTGAACCCAGGAGGCAAAGGTTGCAGTGAGCCAAGATTGCACCACTGCACTCCTGCCGGGGTGAGAGAGTGAGATTATGTCTGTAGTCATGATAAAAATGTAAAAACTGTTTTTAGCTTGTAGGTCATACCAAAACAGCAGGTTAAATTTGACCCATGGGCCACAGTTTATAGATCCCTGTTACAGAGTCACAAGTCAGCTAAGGAAGATTTATGAACATTATTCAAATATCTTTGATTCAGGTAACAGATAATAAGAGAGTCTGATTCATTGTTTCAGGTAGAACCTCACAGATGATATCATCATTGAACAAGGGATGTCTGCAGGTTTAGAACAGTACTGTCTAATAGCAACCTTTGTCATTTGAAATTGGCTAGTAGCAGCCAGGCACGGTGGCTCATGCCTGTAATCCTAGCACTTTGGGAGGTTGAGGCTGGTGAATCATGAGGTCAGGAGATTGAGATCATTCTGGCCAACATGGTGAAACCCTGTCTCTACTAAAAATACAAAAACTAACTGGGCATGGTGGCTCACGCCTGTAATCCCAGCACTTTGGGAGGCTGAGGTGGGCAGATCACAAGGTCAGGAGTCCGAGAGCAGCCTGGCCAATATGATGAAATCCCATCTCTACCGAAAATATAAACTAGCCAGGTATGGTGGCACGCATCTGTAGTCCCAGGTACTCGGGAGGCGGAGATTGCAATAAGCTGAGGTCGCGCCACTGCATTCTAGCCTGCAAAAGAGTGAGACTCCATCTGAAAAAAAAAAAAAAAAAAAAAAAAAAAATTGGTGAGTAGCCACATTAAAAAGAAGTAAAATTAATTTTAACATTTAAGCCAGTATTTTGACAATTTTTCAACATATAATCAGTGTAAGGTATTAATACAAGTCTATATTCCCTTTTTCATAGGAATTATTTTAAATATGGTGTTTTACATTTACAGCACATTTCAGTTCACACCAGCCACATTTCAAGTTCCCCATTGCCATGTGTGCTACCATATTGGACAGCACAGATCTGTAAACATTTTATCAGTTGATACAGAGTTAATTATAGTTGGTTAAACCGACTTAAAATAGTAAATTTAATAAACCATTAATAAATATTAAATCAGTTAGATTGCCAACTTTTGTTTGTCAAGCGTTAACCTGTTTCCAAACGTTTTATTCTAGTTGTACTTGTTATCATCATTTTGCAGTTTAATGAAATATTTAAACCAAAATATGAGTATGAAAGGGAATTAGTAAGTTTAATGCTTTGAACATATTTGCTGAAGGCTAGATGCTAACAGAAACTAAAGATGCATTCAATTAGGAATGAGCAAGACAACTGTAAAGGACTGGGGAAAAATATAAATCTAGATAGAATGTGCACCTGGAATGGTTTTGCAAATGTTTTTAAGTCCCTACTTCGCTTTAAAGAAACTGAAGACAGAAATCATAAATAATATTTTAGCGTTGTGGTTTAATCAGAAGAGACAGGTGGACCCATAATTAAAGTTCTTGGTTCTGTATCAAAAGCCTGGAGAATGAATAAGCGTATTTTAAAAAGTAAAAAAATATTTAAAGTACCTTCTTCTGGTTTAACCTTTTTCTGCTGCCCAACTAATGGTCCTGATTGAGTCAGTCAAGAGGCTTCTATGGTGTAATTTCTTTCTTTTTTTCGTTTGAGACGGAATTTCACTCTTTCACCCAGGCTGGAGTAAAGTGGCACAATCTCGGCTCACTGCAGCCACCACCCCTGCTGGGTTCAAGTGATTCTCCAGCTTCCCAAGTAGCTGGGATTGTAGGCACCCACCACCATGCCTCGCTAATTTTTACTACAGATGGGTTTTTGCCATGTCGGCCAGGCCATGTTGGCTGGTCTCAAACTCTTGACCTCAGGTGATCCACCTGCCTTGGCTTCCCAAATTGCTAGGATTACAGGTATAAACCACAGTGTCTGGCCTGTTGTGTAATTTTTTAAAATAAAAATGACAGCGTAATGTATCAAGCCAGAGATAACACCTTATCATGTCAGTACCTATATGTCTTTTGTTTTTAACAGCTGCATAGAATACTCTTCTATCAGCATATCATAATTTAATTAATCCTGTATTAATGTACATTTGAAGGTGTTCTTTTTTCCATTCACATTTTCTGTTAGACTACCGAAATGAAACCCTTTGGAGACCCCAGAAAAATTTTGTGTGTGTGGATACATATTTGTAAATCCAACTGTATACATGTATGCATTCACACACATGTATATATGCATGTATTAGACACTTTGTTGGATATCGATCTAGAAGTGGAATTGCAAAATATAAAGGTATTTATAAGTTGCTTACCAAGAATACCTCAGAGTGTTGGTTTCCTCTATAAGGTGCTTTATTTAAGTAAGTTAATCTGTTGGTTGTTGTGGAATTTGAAAATAACGATTCTCAGTTTGTTCTTTGCTTTTTAATTTTTAAAAACAGAGTTGTTTGCCATGTGCAGATTTTAAATTTACATGTAGGTCCTATCTTTTAGTCTTTCTCTAACAGCTTCTTGAAGAAACCCCTTCAAAATTTTACAAAGGGCCCTTAATTTTTTCTTTCAGTAGTTTTATGGTTTTGTTTTTCTTTAAATGTTTAATCTGGTTGGAATTTATTTTCATGGATAAGGAAAGGTGAGGGTTGTTTGTTTATGAATGAGTGTTCAGTTGCTTCAAAACAATTTATTAAACAGTCTATGCCTTGGTAACTCATCTGAATATAACATAACATTAAATGATACATTTCCAAATGTACAGGTTGGTGCAAAGTAATCTGATTAAAAGTAATGGCAAAAACCACAATGACTTTTGTACCAACCTATACATGAAATTTCTGATTTAAAGCTCACAATTTTGTCTGTTCTTTCACCAATACCAGACTTCCTTAATTACTAGGTTTCATAAATGTGTTACCATAATGTAGGCAAGATGCCCTTTATTTGGTCTTTCAAAGCCCATTTATTCTTTCAGAAGAAATTTCAATTTCATTTTCTAAGCACCTTATGTTCCTCTCAAAAACTTTTACTGGAATTTTGATTGGCATGACATTAAATGTCTATATTAAAATGAGGAAAAGTGCTATCTTTACCATAGTGATTCCTCATCTGGGGATATGATGCAAATCTCTTCATTTATTTGTTGTAGAGTTCATCAGTGATGTCATCATATATGTATTAGGCATTTCTTGATGAGCATGTAGTGTTTTATTCCAAGATATTTCAGTCTAAAAACAAGTACCATTTTTTTAAATAAGTCACAGTATCAGGTAGTGGAAGTTATAAATGAAACCTCCTCTTTTCAGGCCAGACAAGAAGCCACATAGTCATGAAAAATGTTAAGTGCTTATTGCTCAGTGACTGGGTTCAAATCTGTTTTGCCACTGAAGATCTTTTTTTGATTTTAATTTTTTAAACTGCACTGAAGTATAATTTACGTACAATAAAATGGACCCATTTAAGAACGACGTATACACACCTGTGTAACCACCATCTAAATCAAAATATAGAATATCTCCATACCTTAGAAGGATTGCGCATGCCTCTTTGTAGGTAACACCCTTGGCTTCTGGCAACCATTGATTCTTTTTATTAATTTTGCCTATTCTAGAATTTCGTATAACTGGAATATCTACTCTTCATGTTTTTTCCTCTTTGTCACATCTTTTTTTGGTCCATATTTTCTCTGTCTGCTTTCTTTTGGATGAATTGGATAATTTTACCACTCTTTTATTTTCTATTTTGCATTATTAGTTGTACCTCTTTTTAAAGTGTTTGGTTTAGTAAGTGCAATATGCACCTCAATTGC